ATGGTGCATTAAGAAGCCAAGTGGGCAGAAATGCAGCTACAGGAGCTCCCTATATTTTGGCGATTGCTTGGATTTCTGCTCAGATTTATCATAATAAACTGCACTGGTATGGTCCAGTACTTATTAGGTTACTTATACAATTAAGTTTTCATAGAAATAGTAAATGGAATTTATTTTAATTTATTCATTGGGATTTATCCCTCGATCGAGTAAGATGTATTCGTTTATTGGGCGGCAAATAATGAGCAGTGCAAGTGATGTGACTTAAACACCTCAGAACATAAATGAAAAAAGAAACTCGACTCCACGAAAAGTTTTCCGTTTTTCACCACAGCCCATAGGTAAGCCCCACCAATAAGTAGATGTGTCATCAATCATTTGAGAAAAATTTGACCAAAAAGATTAACAAATTCGGATATTGAAATGCGAAACAACTTCCTTCTTGGCAAGAGATAATTTTCACCTGATGATGTTTTGAAGCCTAGTCGATATATAAAATTTGAAGTGCGCCCTTAGAGAGACCCTGTACGTGAAATGAGGCACACGTCAGTCATTATTCGCTCGTTTCAATTAATGAAGAGCTAAAATCTAAAGGCTTTAAGATACGTTTGTTTCCTAATATTCGACAACAATTACGTTGCGAATCGTTTGTAATTATTTTATTGGTTTTCCAATTTACTGCCGCCCCCATTATAAACTTTATGCCCCTCATCGTTTGAGACTATTGGTGCTATGTTCTTCTATGACGTTTCAAGTAGAAATAATCTGCACAGAAGCATGTTCCTATAGAAGATCGAATCAGTAAAAACGTCTTCGTTTTGATTCGAAATTCCATTCCCATTAACAAGGCCGGATTGTTAAAACTATATAATCATTAGAGTATTTACAAAGTCTGTCGCAAGCAAAAAGCAAATATGCACTGTTTCATAAACCTGTTTTAAAAACAGACAAAGAAGAAAAATTAGCAGAACAAATTTGATACGTACTTTCATGAAAAAGAATATGTTGGTTTCTGTAGTAAAACAAACCGAAGACTGTATTTAGCTTAATACGAGCAAGTGTTCGGGCGTCATTTAGTCAACAGGTTAAAATGCCGATGTTTAATTAATAACAGGTAAGAAGGTAGTTTAAATGTTATTACATTTTTAATTATTAGCTGTGTTGTACGATGTTCCACATTTTCTTTGAGTGAATTCATGTGACACTAAATTATGCCCATCCCTGGCTTTAAACACATGGAGATTGCATTGACTTGGTCAACATCAAAGTCAATGCATTCTTAATCAAAATGTGTTAAAGATATTGTTCTATTTTGTTCAATAAAAGCGCCAAAAAAAATTGTACTAAAATGGCAACATGGCATCCCCTTAGGGTAAAAGCATATTTTCTGAACGAAAACAATTTATTTCAGTAAACTGCAGTTACGGTTTAGGTTTAAAATCCTCTTCAGTAAAGTGAATAGTGTATTTGATAGTTGTGAACCTTCAAATTAATATGGTGCACTGTTTCAGTCGGTTTAAGATAGGTAAGTGGATTTAGTTTACTTATTTTTAATCCGATGTTTGGCAAAATATTTAAATTCAAATTTAATATTTGGTGGTTTAAAGAAACGTATGGAAAACTGGTGATAAGTTGACTTGAACCAATTAGTTCAATGGGTTAGAAAAGAAATTTTTAGATTAGTTAGTTAGATTTTTCTAATTTTTTGATAATTTCGACGATTAAGTCGATGTGAATTTAACTTATATATAATAACGGCTGTTCTTTAGAATAATTTTGAATTGAGGTGTCCCACCGGGAACTGCCATGATCGATATCTGGCAAACTGTCCTTAGGATAAATTTGAAAATTGAAGAGTGTGCCGAAGTTTTTGGGGGCAAGCGATCTAGAATATTTTCAAGAGAACCACACTTTCGGTTATACAGGAAGTAGGTACCAACTTGCTTATTTTAAATTAAACACCTTATATATTATTAAATTTTTAAATTATACTACTAATTCTAAATATATTTAATGTACGATATCCTAAATTTCAAACAAAAAATGACACTTGCAGCCACTCGAATAATTATTCATTTTTCGCGTGAGAGAATATCTGTTACTTAATTTGAGTCGCATTTCTTCCTGAAATGAACTTACTTTAATGGAATTTCCGCAATTTTTTTTATTGAATTTAAAACTCTAATACAGTGTTAAAAAAAGTTTGAAATGGCGTTGAGAAAATAACCCTAAATCATTTTTTTTCAAATGGAAACCCCCATTTTTAATAATTTTAACTTATTCAGTATTAAAAATAAGGGTAAGTTTGTGTAAATTGTTTAGATTTCGAAATATTCTCAATTTAAGGTTTTATTTGGCTATTTTGCCATCATCTCATTTTAAATTCTGCGACCCGTAGTTGCCGTGACGAAAGTGGCCATTTTTAATACAATCAAATGCCAAAAGAATCCTGACAGCTGTCAGTTATCTTTTGAGAATAATTAATAATCATGCCCAGACGCTTAAATTATGCAAACGAATATTATTTAAACTTATTTGTTATTTATGAATAATGTGATAAAGCTGTATTAAGAACATGTGGCACATTTGCCATTCGATATCCACAAACTTATTTTTTAATAATTAAAAGAACACAAACCATTTTTTTTTAAATACAGACGTCTCTAATTTTTCTGGTTGCCCTGATAAATTGAACATTTACTGTTATTTAGACGTATTCAAAATTCCTGAAATTTTCTATGATTTGTTTAACCGCACAGCAAGAAGGTTTCTGTTTTTGTGGATATCGAATGGCAAATGTGTCACTTGTTCTTGATACAGCTTTATCACATTATTCAAAAATAACAAATAAGTTTAAATAATCTTCGCTTGTAAAATTTAAGTGTCTGGGCATAGTTATTAATTATTTTCAAAAGGTAATTGACAGCTGTCAGCATTCGTTTGGCAGTTATATTAATTAAATTAAATTATATTAAAAAAGGCGACTTTCGTCATGGCAACTAAGAGTGGCCGGATTTAAAAGAAGATGCGGCAAAATAGTCATATGAAAACATTCAATTTGCAACATTTCGAAAACTAAACACTTTAAGAATAGACAACACAAACTTACACTTATTTTTAATACTGAATATGACAAAATGATCAAAAATGGGGTTTCCATTTGAATAAATTAATTTTGGGCGGTTTTCTCAACTGTATTTCAAAACTTATTTTTTTAAACACTTTGTATTAATAGTTTTCAAAATGTTCTGCAAATTAAGAAGCACAAATTCCCTTATAGGAAAAATGAATAATTATCCGAGTGGCTACAACTGTCATTTTTTACATATACATACATGAAATATAATTAGAATTTGTAGTATAAATAGTAATAAGCAAGTTGATAACTACTTCCGGTATTACCGGAAGTGCCACCATCTTGATAATATTATAGATCGCTTGCTCCAAATGACTGCGGCTTCTTTTTTTCACAATTTTCACCCAATTTTCAAATGTCTCCTAATTATAATTTGACAGAAATCGATCGCGGCGTTTCTCGGTGGGACGCCCTGTATTGTTTAACTAAAATAACATTAAGTGTCTTTATTAGAAGTTATTAGTACTGCCGTAATAATAAAAACTAAATATTAAAACATAATAAGTTTTAAATGTCAAACAGCAAAAAATTTGTACAGCAAAAATGTCTGTAATTTGATTATTAATAAAGATTAAAAAAGTAATACAATCCACACAAATGTATAAATTGGTCAGTTACTGCAAGAACATACAAATTTTTAATGTAGGGACAGTGTACGTTCGTACCTTAAAAAAAGTTGTTTCAGGGCAATTAATGAGGTAGGTAATTAATTAATAGGTAATATGTTGAAACACCTTTAATTCGAATTTTGGTTTCTGATTAATTTGAAAAACCCTGAAATTTTCGAATTAACATTAGTTTTTCGTAATCATATTAAAGGCGAACCAAAACTGACTGCTGACGATAATTGTCTCTCTAAAATCTTGAAAATGAAATGCCAAGGCAGAAGCAAATAAAGCGGTTTTTATGTTGAGTCGACGTTGCTATAATGAAGTTCAGTCAGTTTTACTCCAGCATTGATATTAACGCCAAAAGCACGACCATAAAAATTCGACCAATGCGGGTTTCCCAAATAACTTACTTCCAAATTAGGCCAGGAATTACCCAGCTTGTTTGCAAGATTCCGAAGAATGTTTACATCAGATTAGAACAGTGTTTATTTCTTCTCTACTTCATCTTGGTAGTTTATTATATGAAATATTAGTAATTTGTGCAGCTGAATGAGTTCAACCAAAATCATTTAAATTCATAATTGGTTGCTAATCTAATATGTTTGAGACGTGAAGAAGATATCGTTAAATAATCATTTATCAAACATTAACCTAAATTAAAACCTATTAAAAATTATAATTTCAGGGTCGGTTCACGCACGCGACATATATAAAACAGATATAAATCTTGCAAGGTCCAAAACTCAAATTAATTCAAGTTTAAAATGTGCATAAAAAATGGTTAAGCAAATTATAAATAACAATTTTACTGGCAGTTAATTAAATATGTCTAAACTGTTGATGTGTCTAGTATTAATTATCGGGAAATTTAGTTACCTTTAGCATAACATTGTAAACCCACTTATAGATTACGAGTTATTTTGTTATTAAAAATTCTATTTTAGTACATGTATTTTATATGAACTAATAGCGAATGTTACCCTGTCAATTAGAAAAAACTAAAACTGCTCAAAATTGTTTAACCCAAATTGCATTAAGGTAGGATTCGATCATTAGAAATAATTATTTTTGCATCAATAATCAAAGGCAGTTTTGTCGATTTTTTTAGACGCAACGTCAGTGTTGAACTTTAATTAGTTCCAAACATATCTACACAGAATTGGTAATTGGAGGCGAAGTTACTTTCGCGAAGCACATGTATACCTAATATTTAGTATATAAAGTACAGGGGATGTAATATAAATGAAAGTGGATTATTCAAAAACATAGTCACTTTATTTAGGTACTCAAAGATACAAAATGGTTCAAAAGAGGTGCTGAGCTTAAAGAAGTACATAATAAAAACAAATTATGAAATACATCGTAATTGAATCTACACTATGTCTAAGACAGATCGGCTTATTTAAGTTAGCTCAGTGCTAAAAAAGATTAATAGCAAAATAAAAAAGGTCATAATCCCTTTCATACTAGTTTTGGTTTCTGATTTATTTGACAAACCCAAAGGCTTCGCTGTAAAATATATTTTTGATTTAATTTTAAAGCTCGATCAAAAGCAACCACTATTTCTATAAGATCGCCGTGTTCAATTTTAACCTAAACGATTCGATTTCAAATAATTACCATCGGTTTTGCGTTTTTGAGTTTTTGGATTACGGTCCTGGTTGTTCATTAACAAATTCGAAAAGTTGCTGCTCCATGCTGCATTCATCTAAGTATAACATCAATTGAGTTTGTTCAATATAAAACATGTTTATGTTTCCAAAATATAAAACATGAACTTGGGCTGTCTATTAATAAACGTATTTTTAATTAAAATTGAATTAGACTTTTAGATTTGTCTAAATGTGAACCTGCCAAAATAACACGGAATTATTTACGGAGGTTATTTCTTAACATTTGACAAACATATTAACGATGTGGAAATATTTAAGATTAACAAATATCATCTACTGTAAAAAACTCACTTATACTTATCATAACTGAACTTCAGTAGGTGGATACGTTGACTTAAAGTTGCTATAAAGACCTGGTCGGCAGTGCTCCAGCATTTATATTAATAACAGAAAACAAAAGTACTGACTTTCGAACAAAGTCAAAAAGACAAAAACCTTTTAAATAATTCATCGCTTCATTTTATTTACCTGTCCATTGAGACGCTTTTTTCCAGTTTGACTAACTTATTATTTGCCTTTTCCCATTTCCTCATACTGGCGGTTCGTATCTTGGACGTATTGCATATTATACAGGGTGTTTAATGGTAGATGGCGTACTAGATGTTTATGGAGAATACGATGCACAATCGGTCTGTAAATGTATACAACTAAGTGCTCAAATCCGCTCTGAAGTACTGCATTGTAGTACTACGGGTTTACAACTTTAAAATTTTAAATGAGAAATAATGTGGGATATTATTGCACGCTTTTATTGACTTTTAGATTTGATTATATTGGCTTGATGATTAGTGCAGACATCTAAAGCGGCTTCACACATATTTAATAATATTACTAATTTCTTACAAAACATAGCCCTAAAAAATCTTGCGTTTCAGCGTATTTCCGCAACGTAAAAATGTAATTTATGCCGTTTTTAACTCTAACCGGAAGAGCGCTAATTTCTTTAATATTTTAGAAGCTTTATAAATTCTACCAAATTTTTACATGCGAGGGCTAAGCACGCATTTTCGGAACCAGCGCTGAATGCTGAAATTTTTGTGGATTAAAATCGCGTAGAAAACAATTTTCTTGGGGTTTTATTTGATTAAAAAGCAAAAATACTATTTAATTTTATGAAAACTGGCCGCCTTAGATCGGCATAGAAATCCTGTAGAAATATTATCAGATGTACGAAACCAATCTACATGTAAAATTATATAAATACAGCTGTATTTTCAAAATATTTATTGAGGTTTTTCAAATTTTTGTCGCATGGTTGAGAATATTTTGAGTTGATACAGCATATACGCTTACTAAGTTGTGCAGATTATTAGAAATATTATCCAACTAGTTTTAAAATTACCTTAGGGACGACCAATTTATACTGTATACTGTAGAGGAACGCCTTGAAATTGATTAAATCAACCATGTTTAACTAATATTTTAAATGTCCATGTTTGTTCTCAGTTACTTATTATCATCTTAAATAAGCATAAATATCCATATGTATTTTGTTTAATTTGTTGTATTTTTTAAATAATTAGTATGCATGCTTTTGGCGTGTAATACATTATAAACGATGTTTAAAGACAAGATTCTATTCATTCTATTTGATACCATCGAACGTAAATCGCTCTGTATATGTCCTCAAATAGGCGGAAAATTTATGAAATTCACGACCAGTGTGTACGGCATTTTGACCATGAAGTACCTACGTATTATTTTTCTGCCTAAACGTTAACAGTCAATTTGTATTTCGTAAAATTTGGTAAATACATACCATCTTTCATAGCTGAAAATCTTTCTGAGCATCTTTAAAACCTGTCACTTACATTGTGAATAGCCTTTCGTACTAACTAAAGCAAAATTCTGTTAAAACTGATTTAAGAATTAATTTGCGTATGCGTTCTACTGGAATTCATCTGCAAACATATACTAAACATTGTTGTTCCATTGGTTGAAAATTAAATTTCTGAAATCTATTTGAAGTTCGGAAAATTTATATTAAAGCTCCAGTTTTGATATACTTTGCAGGACTTTCGTTTTACTGACCTCTGATTTGAGAATTCCTGATTTTGCGAAAATTTCGCATAGTTGCACACCGAAGTCAAGAAGAAGAAATTTAGGTGGCAATGAAAAAATTTGAAACAGTAATAACGTTCTTGCCCCAAAGCGGCTAATGGATTAACTGCCACTTTTCCTTAGTCTCAATTCTCGGAAAAAGTGATGTGAAATGTAAAAGCTCTGACAAAAAAATATTCCTGGCTGTAAGCCGAGGAGAGGAAAGTCTCTAAGGATTATTTAATATAATCAGCATGCAGGTGCTCTGGAGGTATTTTGACGTGTTTATATTTTCAGAAAATTGTATAAAATAATTAAACCAATTAGGTTTTAATACAAATTATCTCTTGTTTATTTGTTATACGCTCGAGCTGTGTATCCGTTAAAACACAATCTGGATAATGGAAAATAGTAAGCAGAATACATAATTCACCAAGATGGAACACTCTATCAAAGAAAGCATTAGTGTATTAAATAACTAGGTACATCTAATCAGTTACTTACTAATCTTCGCAATTTGCATAATTAATGTAATAAACTATTATGCCCACGCCAAGCAAGCAAATCAATTTCTGGAAAACTACTCTTGAGGCAGCCGATTCATAAAGACGACACTTACATCGAAGTTGTACAAAGGAAAGTAATGAAATCCAATACCTCTAAAAGAATTGCACTTTGTTTTATGAATAAGTATCTTACTAATTGGCATTAATGGAATTGTCCAGTACTTTACACAAACATATCCTTATTTTTAATACTGAATAAGGCAAATTTATCAAAAAGGGGTGTTTCCATTTGAAAAATTTGATTTTGGGCGGATTTCTTAACTGCATTTTAAAACTAGTTTTTTTAAACAATTTGTATTAATGGCTTTCAAAATGTACTAGACATTTCATTATGTAATATAAATTCCTTTATAGGAAAAAAATATAATTATTCGAGTGGCTGCAACTGTCATTTTTTACATAAAATTTCAAATATTTCAAAAACGATTAGACCTAGGTATAGGATATCATACATGAAATATATTTCGAATTTGGCGTAGAATTTAAAAATGTAATAATATATAGGATGTTCCATTTAAAATGAGCAAGTTGATACTTACTTCCGGTATAACCGAAAGTGTGGTCATCTTGAAGATATTTTAGATTTTCCTCCAATGATTTCGGCACACTGTCCAATTTTCAAATTTCACATAATTATATTTCGCCAGATACCAAACGCGGCGGTTCCCGGTGGTTCCCTGTATGTATGCCTTTCCATAGCCCACATATGCAAACACACTTTCGCTTTTAAAGTTTTGTTATCGAAAAGTAGAAGATTTATTCAAGCAAGTGACGCAAGTCGCCAGTCTATCGTCATTGTGCATGATAATGGATTACGATTTTGCAATGCGGTAACTTTAAATGCCGTACTATACGAAGAGGATGATCCGATCTGATCGTTTCCGTTCGGACTAAAATCTCCGTTTTGACGAACATGTAAATTTTTTTCTATTTATCAGCTTATTATTATTCCCTTTTAAATCCTCCAATTATATTTATATTTTTTTCGCTGGTACCACAAATGCCTTTTAGGTGGAAAATGTTCGGCGAGCTCACCACCTTCTCATCTGTCTTTGTTTGTTCTTGCGAGCGTCGCGTTAGAATTTAAGTGTTGTTGATTTACTTTTTTATGTGCCATAAACAAGAAATAGTGAAAACTGCTATTTGCCAGAGGGGCTAAAAATATTATTAGATTATAGCACCCTTAACAATTTTTCTACGTATTCACGATGAACTATATCTAATTGGGAATGTAACAAATCAGATTGTGGGGAGCAAATTACCCCCTTGTCGACAATGTCTTACGTACTGTTTCCAACTTTTTAATTTTTCAACTATCATGAAAGTTAGACCTACGTCAAAATACGAAGTTACCAATTAAGGAGTTGGTTGTCTATTGGCAAAAAGCAAAAGTCACCTAAACGTAATTCTGAGACTGAAAAAAAAAGCATTATTTTTAACTTACTTATTTTGACTTATTTTTAAGATCTTCAATGTTTAAAAAGAACTTCTTAATGTCCTGATCTTTGAAACTACATCACTCGTCACCTGGACAGTCCGAGATAATGAAAAATATGTTCAAAACCTTGTTAGTTGTTAACGATGTCACAGAAAGGAGAATAAAGTTTCACTAAAAATCAAAAGCCGTTTCTTTTACAAGTTGTGAATGATTATCGTCAAACTTATCCAGATTGTGAGAGATATATGTTGCTTCAAAAACAATTATTTATATCCATTTTTAGTTGCATTGCTGTAACAAAGTCTGCGGTAGATAAATCTTTTATAATATAGTAAATAAAAGACTTAAGGAAGGTCCATGATTTCCGAAAAAAATTAAAATGTAACTCCTTTGTGGCACCTTTTCAAATTTTCCTATTGTGCTAATTTTGTTAAGAGCTTATTATATTATAAGTTGGAAACTGAAGGGTGGCTACCTAAAAATTCGATAGTTCAAATTTTTTCGATCTGTTGGGATTGATAAAAGTCGCCCTCCGATACTATTGCCTGTTTTGAACAACATTTTATGTGTATCGATTATTACTGATATTTCGAAATATTTCTATATTCAAGTTCGCGCGTCAAATGAAAGCGATAATAGTAAATATGGTGGCGGTTTTGGAAAATCCGCCTTTAATATAACAAGTTAATCGCCGTTTTTTAAACCTGATTTAATGGCTAATATTTACTAGATTCATAAGTTTGATTTGCAATTACTATTTTTATTAAGTATCATTAAATATTATTAT